AGGAAGGCGGCACGTACTCCGCCCGGAGGCCAGGGCTAGAGGTCAGCTCTGCCTGGGACGGTGGCTGCTGAGCCTTGGTCTCCCTGACTGCAGAACGGAGACCCCCCGCCCTCGTGTCGGCTCCTACACGGAGTGGTCTCTAAGGCATGTGCACATTTGTTAATAAAGATTCTATTTATGGAAAGCCTCCAGGAAGAGACAGAGGAGCCGCTCTGCGCCTTCGACTTCTGCTCCCCACCCCCACCCCGGCAGACGCTGGGCGGTGTCTGGACATCTGTGGTGTCACGACGCAGGGAGCTCCTGGCGCGGAGTGGCTGGAGGCCAGGGACGCTGCTCGGGAACCCACAGTGCCCAGGACGGCCCCTGGAGAATGGGTTGGAGAAACCCTGGCCCAGTCTGTGCGTGTTTTTCTGGAAGTGACGTGCACGGGGAGGTGCAGACCCCAGCTCTGCACTTGGTGGCTCTGTGGCCCTCAGCAGGTCATGTAACATCTGTGTTTGTGCCCCAGGGGGCCTTGGAGGCCACCAGGGAGGTGGCAAGAGGGGGACACTGTGGCTGCCATCACCAGCCTGGATGCTGGGAGCTTGCCATTTCTCAAAACAAGCTGGAGAGGATGTGGGGTGACTTCTCCCCCAGGTCTGCCGTGGTGATGCTCTCGGGAGCAGCCCCCTTTGGGGGGCCACACGCTGGACTGAGTGGGAACAGAGCCGCACAGCTCTGGGCTTCTCCTGCCTGGCCAGGTGACCTCAGGGGGTTCCTGATGGTTCCAGGATGTAGGGGTGGCCGGGGCTGCCTGCTGGGAGGACGGTAGCAGCCCTGGATCCACAGGCACAGAATCAGATGCCGCCCAGGTGTACGCACCTCTCTTCTGCATTCACCAGGGGCCGTGTCTCTGGGCAGCCCAGGCGGGCCCAGGGCCAGCAGCACCAGCCTTGCCCTGTGTCCCTGGAGTGACTGGTGCCCGCCAAACGGACGCCCATCCAGAACCTCAGACTGATGGGCCTACTCACACGGGAGTAGGGTGAGCCCTAGTGGTGTCCTCAGGCGGGAGCACGGCACAGAGAGATGAAGGGATGGCCACAAGCTGCATTTTCCCAGCAGCCCTGGGGAATTACAAACATATATACTCTCATCTGTACTGTCTATGGGGCCAGTGGCTTGTGCAGTGCTCGACCTGAACGACCATACATGGTGGGCCTGCTGTTGACCTCTTTTCCTCCTTGGGAGATTCTCTTCCGGATGTACCGGGAGGCCACGTCCTCCTGCCCCGCCTTCACCTCTGGTCTCATCCTCCCACCCTTTTTCATGGGCTTTCTGGGCTGGGCACCCTCAGAGTGTGGGCCTGAGCTCTTCTCATCTCTTCTGAAGCCTTCAGGAGCCCTCCCGGTCCAGTCCCCTGTGGTGGCCCCGGGTCTGAGCTGCAGAGGCTTCCGTCCAGCTTCCTGTCTCCAGGCTCCTCCCAGCCTCCAACTTCATCCACAAGTGATTCTGGCAGCTTCTTCACACCAGGGACTTCCATCCCAGTCAACGGCTCCACTGACGCTCTGGGCCTGCCCTTGCCCACTACCCTCGCCGCCCCCGGGCCCTTGAAAATCCTCAGGTGGGGCCTTGAGAACCACTGGGCCTCCCGCCACCCTGCTCTTTGTCAGGGTCCTCAACACCTTGCCACCCTTATCTGAGTATGATCTTGGACACCTGTGCACCCTGACCCTGGTGGGGAACACTCCCCCTCTCTCTCCTCCCCACGGACTCTCTGGGACTCTGGCGAGGGCTGCCAAGGTGGGCACTTAATGCCCTGGCTATCAGACTGAAAGGGCACCTTTGCTTGGCATCCTCCCTGCCTGCTCCAGCCCCCTTCCTGGGTCCTCCTGGGTGTACCCCCTTATAAAATCACCTGCACACAAAATGCCTGCCTCAGGCTCCGCTTCTGGGGACCCCCGCAAAAGACAGCAGCGCGTGCACACCCAACATCAACACACACTCCTCAACCACCTTCCCCAGGCCTAGCTAGGGGCCACCGCGCCCAGGCACCTGCAGCTCCGCCTGCTCAGCCAGTCTCCGTGGCTTCCCGGCCTTCCGTGTGTCCCGCACTCGGGCTCTAAATTTGCACCTGCTGGGCCTCTTGGCAGCAACCCGCCCCGCGAATGACCAGGCTCTTCCAGGAATCCCCTCCTGCCCGCTGGGACCCTGCCCCCTAAGGTGGGGGCCCTGGGTGACTGGGTTGCTCGCTGTAAATATTCACGTTCTGGCCGAATGGACGCGGATGCCATGAGGCCGCTAACGAGGCGGCTACGAGGCCCTGGCTCGGGGGCTGGCTGGGCGACCTCGGGCCAAATCCTCTTTGGGCTGCATTTGTTTAAAAATCATGTATATGGCCGGGCGTGGTGGCTCACGCCTGTAATCCAAGCACTTTGGAGGCCAAGGCAGGCGAATCACCTGAGGTCGCCAGTTCAAGACCAGTCTGACCAACATGGTGAAACCCCGTCTTTATAAAGAATAAAAATAAATAAATAAATAAAAATCATATATTGCAAAGGGAACCTCAGCACCTGCAAAGAGTTATCATAGAAGGCGAAGTCGGCCAGAAGGGCTCGAGCCGCAGGCAGCGCGCTGCCCAGCGCCGGGCCCAAGCCCGGACCCTCCAACCCACCTTGTCCCGTCCATCCCCGCCAAGACAGTGCGGACTACAACTCCCAGCAGGCCCTGCGCCCCGCCGCGCCGGCGCCACGGGCAGGGAGCCGCGCGGGGCATGCCGGGAGTTGAAGTCCGCCACCGCCCCGCTCGCCGAGGAAGACCCGCTACGCACCTCTGGGAGTGGTGGGCCAGGCGAAGGTGCCACAGCGCGCGGCCCAGGCGTTGCTGCTGCAGCAGGAGTTGCCCCGGGGGCTCCCCGGCGCCACCGTTCACAGGTGAGCGCAGGCCCATGTTCTCGAAGTAGTGCGCAAGGAAGGCGATCGGTTCCTCGGGCCGCGCCTCCAGCACCTTCAGCAGGGCCGCGCGTAGCATCTCCGTCACGCCGACCTGCCGCAGGAAGTCCTCCTCGCTCTCGGTCGCTCCCGCCGCCTGGGACACCGACGGGCGGCCGCTGTCCGTGAAACCGGCCGGCGGTATTACCGTCGGTCGCCGCTTCTCCACTGTCGCCATCTTCGCTGAGGGCAGTGGGACCGGAAGCACCGCCATATTCCACTGTGTGTTAGAGCCCCCGAGGCGGCCATCTTGATGAAGGGCAGAGGGCGCGGGAATCCCCCTAAGAGATCGTGGAAAAGGGCAGGAGCACGCCACCCTTTTCCCTGTGTCCTTATTGGCGCTCTCTTTTCGTCTCCCTCTTTGTGTAAATTGATTGGCTCTCTTGGCCTTAGCCTGGCTCCTGAGTTTTGCCAGGCTCCAAAATGGCTGCCTCGGAAGTGCTCCGTTTCTGGCATGAAGCCGGATTGCTTGCCAGCTTTGGTGGTGAGCGGGTCCTTCATTAGTATGGTCTCCTAGCAACCAGTCTCCCTGGTTACCAGAGCATCCTGAGGAGCATGCGCGGGGATGGACCCGACCCAGACTGCTGCACCCAGCTTAGCTTTGTTCGCTCACTGTTTTTGGGCACTCCCGGCCCCCCGTTTTTATTTTTATTTTAATTTTTTTTTTATTTTTTGAGACGGAGTTTCTCTCTTGTTACCCAGGCTGGAGTGCAATGGCGCGATCTCGGCTCACCGCAACCTCCGCCTCCTGGGTTCAGGCAATTCTCCTGCCTCAGCCTCCTGAGTAGCTGGGATTACAGGCACGTGCCACCATGCCCAGCTAGTTTTTTGCACTTTTAGTAGAGACGGGGTTTCACCATGTTGACCAGGATGGTCTCGATCTCTTGATCTCGTGATCCACTCGCCTCGGCCTCCCAAAGTGCTGGGATTACAGGCTTGAGCCACCGCGCCCGGCCTATTTTTATTTTTTTTTAAATTCGAGAGGGAATCTCACTCAGCCGCCGAGGCTGCTGGAGTGCCGTGGAGCCATCTCGGCTCACTGCCACCACCGTCTACCGGGTTCAAGCGATTCTCCCGTCTCAGCCTCCCGAGTAGCTGGGGTTACAGGCACCTGCCATCATGCCCCGCTATTTTATTTTATTTTATTTGTATTTTAGTAGAGACGGGGTTTCTCTGTGTTGGCCAGGCTGGTCTTGAACTCCTGACCTCAGGTGATCCACCCACCTCGGCCTCCCAAAGTGCTGGGATTACAGGCGTGAGCAACTGTGCCCGGCCTTTTTTTTTTTTTTTTTTTTTTTTTTTTGTATTTTAGTAGGGACCGGGTTTCTCTGTGTTGGCCAGGCTGGTCTTGATCTCCTGACCTCAATTGATCCGCCCGCCTCGGCTGCCCAAGGTGCTGGGGTTACAGGCGTGAACCACCGCGCCCGGGCCCCCAGACCCTTTTTGATGATCATCCCTGAACCTTTGTGCTGGGGGTCGAGCTCAGCTGGGCCTTCCCCGGAACCCTGGCTCGTCTGAGTGCTAGCTGACCTCGTGGGAGAAGCCCCTCCCCAGCCCTGCTGCAGACGGCGGCCACCGGGCCGAGCATCCCAGGCTGTTACCCTCCTGACGGCCAGAGGGAGCTTTCTGACACCGCAGCCTCCAGAGCTCTAAAGTCTCCCATGGCTCCCCAGTGCCCCCGGGCTGGCACCTCCAGCTCTTCATTGGCTAACCTCGCTTCCAGCTGCCCTCCCGCCCCTCCTCAGCCCTGGGCACCTCAAAACACAAGCAGTCTCCTCCGTAAGCCACCCCTCCATATGTTTCCCCAGGCCACCTCTAGGTAGCTTCTCACTTCCCCACTGCTTTCTGAGACTCCAGGTTGAGCTTGTCACCAGGGAAACCACTAAGCCCCCGAGTTTTCTCTCCCCTGGCAGAGCTCGCTGGGCACCGTCCCGTCCCTCAGGGGCGTTGCCCTGGGCAGGGGGCAGTGAGATCTGGTGTGTGTGTGGGGGACGGTTCCAGCATCCTCCCATCACAGGAATCTCTGCCAGGCAAACGAAACGCTCTTTATTCTCCAGCCCTGGACTGAGGGACGAGAGCCGTCAGGACGGGCCCACAGTCAGCCTCTAGCTGTCCAGAGAGCCCTCGGACCTCTCCTCTCCACGGGGTGGGTGTCAACTGAGAAAAACGCCCAGTGTCAGTCCTTTTAGGAGGTGTATTTGCCAGAGTGAAGGAGGCGCACCCGTGACGCAGCCTCGGGCAGTCCTGCTGACAGGTGCCCAGGGTTGTCGGGCACTGCTTGGTTTTCTGCACTTGAGGGAAACAAAAGGCATCAGTGTGTGTACAAAGAAGTAGGTAGGTCCCCTCTGGAAAGGCGGGGACCACTTGAACAGGGAGGGGCTTCCAGGTCGCAGGTGGGGGAGACGAAACGTTGCTTTCTGTCTCAGAGGGAGGGATGACTTTGAATCGAACAGGTTTTCCCTGAGCAGTTTCCAGCTTGAAAGCAGTTCCCTTCTTTCGCAGGGGGAAGGGCTGGCCACTCACGAGGGGCTACTCCCAACCTGGTCCATCCCCCTTAACCCAGCCCAGGGCGACACCTGGGGCAGGAGCCTCAGAGATGCTGGCGGGTGGGCTCCATCCTCAGCCAGGTGCCGGCAGCGTTTCCAGAGGCGATAGGTGGGCAGGGCCAGGAGCAGCAGCCCCAGCACCGCGCTGCTGGTCCACAGAGCCGCCGACAGCCGGTCACCCGCAGGGCTGGACGCTGGGGAGAGCGGGGGATGCGGGTCAGAGCCCTCCAGGCCTCTGCAGGCGTGGGAAGGGAGGGGCCCCTCAGAGGCTCCACGTGACTCCACAGTTACCACGCTCCCTGAATTTTCACAAAGGACTTTACAGTGATACGGTGACCCTTTCGAAATGTGCATAGCGCCTTAGAGTTTAGAGATGGGCAGTCCCAGCCGGGCGCGGTGGCTCACGCCTGTCATCCCAGCACTTTGGGAGGCCAAGGCGGGCATATCGCAAGGTCAGGAGTTGGAGACCTGACCTTGTGGAACCCTGTGTCTACTAAAAATACAAAAATTAGCGGGGCATGGTGGCGGGCACCTGTATTCCCAGCGACTCAGGAGGCTGAGGCAGAAGAATTGCTTTAACCTGGGAGGCGGAGGTTGCGGTGAACAGAAATCACACCACTGCACTCCAGCCTGGGCCAGAGAGCAAGACTCTGTCTCCAAAAAAAAAAAAAAAAAAAAAAAGGGCAGTCCAGAGTGAGCCACAGAGGCTGCTTAGCCTCAGTCTGCACTTTGAGAACTTAGTTTGGGGGGGAAGGGAGGAATGTAATATATCTCCTTGGTACTATTTTATATTAATTACCTATTGAAATAATGCTTCGGATATATTGGGCTCTGTGAAAAGCATGACCACGCTTTTTTTTTTTTTTTTTTTCCTTTCCAAGATGGAGTCCTACTCTGTCACCCAGGCTGGAGTACAGTGGCACGATCTCGGCTCACTGCAATCTCCACCTCCTAGACTCAAGTGATTCTCCGCCTTCAGCCTCCCAAGCAGCTGAGATTACAGGCACGCACCACCATGCCTGGCTAATTTTTGTATTTGTAGTGGAGATGAGATTTCACCATGTTGGCCAGGTTGGTCCTGAACTCCTGACCTCGTGATCTACCCACTTGAGCCTCCCAAAGTGCTGGGATTACAGGAGTGAGCCAGTGTACCCGCCCTTATTTCTACTTTTAAATTTGAAATTACCTATATGGGCCGCACGCGGTGGCTCACGCCTGTAATCCTAGCACTTTGGGAGGCTGAGGAGGGTGGATCACGTCAGGTCAGGAGTTTTAGACCATCCTGGCCAATGTGATGAAACCCCATCTCTACTAAAAATTTAAAAATCAGCCGGGTGTGGTGGTGGGCGCCTGTAATCCCAGCTGTTCAGGAGGCTGAGGCAGGAGAATCGCTTGAACCCAGGAGTCAGGGTTGTTGGAGGAGCTGAGATCACAACACTGCACTCTAGTCTGGGGGACAGAGCAAGACTCTGTATCAAAAAAAAAAAAAAAAAAAAAAAGAAAAGAAAAAGAAACGTGGCTGCATTCTGTTCCTGTTTCTACTATTCCAAAGATTGTTCTGGTCGGTGAAACCCTGTCTTTTTTTTTTTCGAGACGGAGTTTCGCTCTTGCTACCCAGGCTGGAGTGCAATGGCGCGATCTCGGCTCACCGCAACCTCCACCTCCTGGGCTCAGGCAATTCTCCTGCCTCAGCCTCCCGAGTAGCTGGGATTACAGGCACACGCCACCATGCCCAGCTAATTTTTTGTATTTTTAGTAGAGACGGGGTTTCACCGTGTTGACCAGGATGGTCTCGATCTCTTGACCTCGTGATCCACCCGCCTCGGCCTCCCAAAGTGTTGGGATTACAGGCTTGAGCCACCGCGCCCGGCAACCCAGTCTTAAAAAAAAAAAAAAAAAAAAAAAAAGATTGTTCCAGTCTACAAAGCTTAGAATTTACAAAGTGTCTTGGAACCCACACAGTCCCTGAAATTTACAAAGGACCCACTGGACAGATGGGGAAACCGAGGCTGGGCAGGGCTTGTCTAAAGTCTTCATCCAAGGAGCCTCTCTCTCCCAGCCCTTCCCCACCCTACCCCCATGACCAGAACTCACAGCTTGTCGGGATCACTTCTCCCTGTGTGGGCGCAGCCTGGGAGACAGCAGGGCGGTAGGTCCTGGTGGAGACCGGGCGCCTGGGGCTGTGTGTGGGGCCCTGCTGGGGGACGGTCTCCGGTGTGGTCATGTCAGGGGCCTCTGGGGAGGTCATGATGGAGGCCTCTGAGAAGGTTGTGATGGGGGGCTCCGGGCCGGTCGTGATGGGGGGCTCCGCGCCTGGTCGTGCTGGGGGGCTCTGGGCCGGTTGTGTTGGGGGGCTCCGGGCCGGTCGTGGTGGGGGGCTCCGGGCCGGTTGTGTTGGCGGTCTCCGGGCCGGTAGTATTGGGGGGCTCCGGGCTGGTCGTGTTGGGGGGCTCCAGGGCGGTCGTGTCCGGAGGCTCCAGGGAGGCTGGGCTGCGCAGGACTGGAAACAGAGTGGGGATGTTTTTCTCCCTGCTGCCCCAGGCCCGCCTCTTCTGCCTCAGTCTCCACATCTGGACTAAGGGCTTGGACCAGAACCTCCCCAAGCCCCTTCCCTGGACCACTCTGGTGAATCACATTTCAATTTATTATTATTAATTTTTCTTTTTTTTTTTGAGACGGAGTTTCGCTCTTGTTACCCAGGCTGGAGTGCAATGGCGCGATCTCTGGCTCACCGCAACCTCCGCCTCCTGGGTTCAGGCAATTCTCCTGCCTCAGCCTCCCGAGTAGCTGGGATTACAGGCACGCGCCACCATGCCCAGCTAATGTTTTGTATTTTTAGTAGAGACGGGGTTTCACCATGTTGACCAGGATGGTCTCGAACTCCTGACCTCGTGATTCACCTGACTCAGCCTCCCAAAGTGCTGGGATTACAGATGTGAGCCACCGTACTGGCTTCTTTGTATTTTTTTTTTTTTTTTTGAGTTGGGGCCTCATTCTGTCACCCAGGCTGGAGTGCAGGGATGCAATCATGGCTCACTGCAGCCTCAGCATCCCAGGCTCAAGACATCCTCCCTACCTAGCCTCCTGAGTGGCTGAGGCCACAGGTGTGCAATACCACACCCAGCTAATTTTTAATTTTCTTTGGTAGAGAGTTGCCTGCCTCGGCCTCCCAAAGTGCTGGGATTACAGGCGTGAGCCACTGCACCCAGCCTAATTTTTGTACTTTTAATAGCGATGGGGTCACTATGTTGGTCAGGCTGGTCTTGAACTCCTAACCTTAAATGGTCTGCCTACTTTGGCCTCCCAAAGTGCTGGTACTACAGGCATGAGCCTGGCCTAAAGCCTAGAATTTATAAAGGGCTTTGAAATCCACACGGTCTCACCGGGTGCGGTGGCTCACGTCTGTAATCCCAGCACTTTGGGAGGCCGAGGTGGGCAGATGACGAGGTCAGGAGTTTGAGACCACCCTGGCTAACACGGTGAAACCCTGTCTCTACTAAAAATACGAAAAATTAGCCGGGCATGGTGGCAGGCACCTATAATTCCAGCTACTCAGGAGGCTGAGGCAGGAGAATTGCTTGAACCAGGGAGGCGGAGGTTGCAGTGAACCAAGATGATGCCACTGCACTCCAGCCTGGGCGACAGAGCAAGACTCTGTCTCACAAAAAAAAAAAAAGAAAAAAGAAAAAAAAAAAAGAAAGAAATCTGCACGGTTCCTGAAATTTACAAAGGACCCGCAATCAGGGAAGTCCACTGGACAGACAGGGAAACTGAGGCACCACAGTGAGCAGGATGGGAGTCCAGGCACTCCAGGGACCCACTGACTGGCAGCATCACCCCAGGAGGCTCCTGAGTCTCCACGTGCCTCAGTTTCCTCAACTGTGAAAGGAGCAACAGTCACCTCTTTGGGCTGCCCTGAGAGCGAGTGGGGAGTGGGTCACGTGTGTGCCCAGAGCACAGGCTGAGTGGCTCTGCGTTTATGATGAAGGGATATGGAAGGAGGAGAGCTGGGAGGAGGGTGGCGTGGAGCGAGGAGGTGCCTGGGGGCTCTCTGCTCCTTCCTCTGTGGGACTGATGGAGAGACTGAGGCCCATGAGCGCCTGTGTGCTGTAAAGTATCCCTCAGACCCACCCCCAGCACCAAGACCTCCGCGTCTCCCAGCTTCTGCTCCATTCCCCTGGGAGCCCTGTGCTTGAAACTCATGCCCTCACACATGTTAGCTTGGGTATCGGGGTGCCCCATGGTGGGGGACAAATCCTTCTTTCTTTAGTGGGAGAAGCTGTCAGGGGCTTTGGGGCAGGGCACGAAGGGAGCACCTCCTGGGCACCAGCCCACGTTAAGCATCTTCATCCGGGCTGGGCGCAGGGGCTCACACCTCTCATCCCAGCACTTTGGGAGGCCCAGGTGGGCGGATCACAAGATCAGGAGTTCCAGACTAGCTTGGCCAATATGGTGCACCCCGTCTCTACTAAAAATACAGAAAAGAATAGCTGGGTGGTGGCGAGCGCCTGTAGTTTCGGATACTCGGGAGGCTGAGGCAGGAGAACCGCTTGAACTGGGGAGGCGGACGTTGCAGTGAGCCGAGATGGTGCCACTGCACTGCAGCCTGAATGACAGTGCACGACCGTCTCAAAAAAAAAAATAAAACAAAACCCTTAAACCTTCATCGTGCATTCAGCAAGGGTTTATTGAGCACCTTTTACGCGCCAGCCCCTGCTCTAGCTTCTGTGGACAAGACACAGATTTCCACCTTGGGAGCCAACAGGGGGAGACGGTCATGGAAAAATCAGAGACTGTACGGGCTTGGGGGACGTCAAGATGCTATAAAAGGTGTCAAGAGGCGACTTGGTGGCTCACGCCTATAATCCCAGCACTTTGGGAGGCTGAGGTGGGTGGATCGCCTAGGGTCAGGGGTTCAAGACCAGCCTGAACAACATGGTGAAACCCTGTCTCTACTAAAAATACAAAAATTAGTTGGGCATCCTGGCGGGCACCTGTAATCCCAGCTACTCGGGAGGCTGAGGCAGAATTGCTTGAACCTGGGAGGCAGAGGTTGCAGTGAGCTGAGATTGTGCCATTACACTCGAGCCTGGGTGACAAGAGCAAAACTCCAACTCAGAAAAGAAAAGGTATCAAGAAACAAAACAGAAGGGAATGTGTGCTCACAGGCGTGTGTGTGTGTGTGTATGTGTCTGTACATGTTAGGGGTTGGGGGTTGACCCTTTGAACAGGAATTCAGGGAGCCTCAGTGAGGAGGCAACATTCACGCAGAGACCTGGGGGTGAGGAGGAGGGAGCCATGGAAAGATCTGGAAGAAGGGTATTCCAGGCAGAGGGCATGGTCATGCAAAGGCTCTGGGGCAGCCTGGCATGCTGGAGGAACAGTGATGAGGCCCGTGTGGCTGGAGCAGAGTGAGGAGGGGGACACCAGTGGAGGGAGGGCAGGGAGGGCACAGGGCAGGTGGTGCAGGTTCCTGTGGGCCATGGAGAGGACACGCGCTTTGACCCCCAAGGCAGGAGCCGTGGAGGGCTGTGGGCAGGAAAGGGGCGGGACCTGGACTGGGGGCGGATGCCAGGCACATACACGTTGAGTTGATGAGTGTTGCTCTGGCTGCGTGGCCCTGGCTCCAGTCCCCGCAGTGTCCTACAGCACAGGTACTGACCCCCACCCCTGGAGTGCTTGTCAAGGCTCGGGTGGGCCTGCCTGTGCCCGCTTCCCCAGCGGACTCACCGGGGATGGCCTGGTGGTGACTGAGCTCCAAACCGGGCAGCCTCATCGTGGCCTGGCAGTGGAGGGCAGGTGGGGCAGGGGTCCCCAGGGGCGGCAGCCGCCAGCGCTGTGTCACCCTGAACAGCATGTCCTCCTCCTCTTGGGGCTCGTCCTCTTCCGCCTCCACCTCCAGGTCCAGGGCCTCCGCCCCCTCCAGCTCCCGGCCCCCCAGGAGCAGAGAGAAGGAGAGCGCGTTGGGGTCGCCGGGCGTGACCTTGTGCGCGGCGCAGGCCACCTCCCGGTCAGCAGGCCCCAGGGCTGCCGGGGAGACGGTCAGCTGGGCCGGGAAGGCTGCGATGGAGGGCCGGGGTGAGGGTCAGCCCAGAGTCGGGGCTGCGCGGGACGGATGCAGGGGCTTGGGGCCCGACCATGGATAATGATGAGCAGGCGGGGGGCCACGGCCGCACCCTGGGGGGCTGGAATACACTGCGCGGGGGGCCAGGGTCGCCCGGGGTTGGGGTGACTTGGGGGGAAGCGCAGGCTGGGCCTGGGCTGGGGAGCTCCGCATCAAGCTGGGACAGGGTCTGCAATCCCGGGGGCTTCCCGGAAGCCGTGGCACAGGGAGGGGGCCGCGAGTCCGAGGGTCGGAGGGCGGCGGAGCGCGGGGGGCCTCACCGAACACGAGGAGCCGCACGGCGTGCTGGAAGGTGAGGCCCCCGCAGGAGCCCACGCACACGCGGGTCCCGGCCGCCGACAGCGACGCGTTGCGCACGGTGAGGACGCTGCGGCCCGCGTCCGAGCGCACGGCGCCCAGGCTGGTGTCCAGGCCCCGCCACTGCACCGCGGCCGCGCGGCCCGCGCAGGTCAGACGGCAGGTGAGCTGCAGCGACGCGCCCAGGGCCACGGCCACCGCGGGCTCCGGGGGCTCCACGTGCAGGGGCTGGGCTGCAGCGACCGCGCTCTGGCTCAGCCCGGGACCCCCGCCCCAGCCGCTACCCCGACCCCCAGGCTCGGACCCTGAACCCCACCCCGATACCCGCCTGTGCCCCAGCGCCCCGAACCCCAGAACCCCAGCGGCCTGGAGCTGATTTCGCTGAGGGTTGGGGAGCTGCGCAGAGCCCCCCAGCTTCCTCTCTTAGCCTCTGCCTCCTCCGGCAGGACCACCAGTCACCCCCTCTCTTGGAGCGCCTTAACTCTGGGCCCCCTCCTCTCTCCTGCGCCCCCTCCCCTGAGCCCCCCGAACCTCCTCTCCCCCTCGCCCCCTCCTCCCCCGCGCCCCCTCCTCCTCCGCGCCCCCTCCTCCCCCGCGCCCCCTCCGCCGCTCACCGCGGCCTGGCGAGAGGAGCCCCAGAAGCCCCGCCAGCAGGAGGGCCAGGCCCCGCTCCATGCTCGGTCCCCTCTGTCCCCGGCCGCGGGAAGCGGCTTAAATAGCGGCGCCCGCTCCTTCCCGCCGCCCCGCGACCCCGGCCCCCCTCCCGCTGCTCCCCGGGGGCTTCCCGAGGGGCTTTCCCGGCCTGACCCCCGACCCTGGAGGCGGCAGAGAGGCAGGGGCTGGGGGCCAAAGGCGGGGTGGGGGCCCCGGGGCGTCGGGACGGGCGGGCAGGAAGGTCTGGGTCTGATCCAGGCCCCGTTCTCAGGGACGGAAGATCGCAGACAGAGGCCGGAGGGTCGAAGTCAAGTGCAGGGAAGTGGGGCAGAGGCCGGGCCGGGCCCTCCACGCCCCCGACGGCGGGTCTGCCTCGCCTTTCCCGGGAGGTGGAGGGCAGCTCGTCCAGCTCCGGAGCTGGGGGCCTGGGGTCCCCTGGGGTCGGGTGAAGGTCGCTGGGGATGGAGGCCCCTGGGCTGGGGTCTCCTGGGGTCGGGGGAAGGTCGCTGGGGATGGAGGCCTGTGGGCTGGGGGCTCCTGGCCGTCGTGGAGCTGCGAGACCCTCCAGGCCCTGGGACAGGTCACCCCATCTCTGAGCCTGGCTTCCCTCCATCATACAGGCGGGGACCGCCCACTTAGCAGGCCTGGCTGAGCCTGGGAGCCCTGTTCCTGGGGGCTGCCTCTGTTCCTTGGTCTACATGGAGACCTGGATCTGGGTCCACAAGAGGATCCGGAAGAGACCTGGGCTGGGTCCCAACTCACAGCTGCCATATTCCCAGAGCCCTGAGAACCTCACCTTCCAAACACACTGGACTCCATCCACCTGTTCCTCCAAGACCCCCCACACTGGTCCTGTTTCCCTTCCTGGCCTGTTTGCCCTCCAGGCATGCTGACACCCCTAAGCTCCTGGACTGGGGAGCCCTGCACCCCCCTGGGCCCTCCCAGGGCCTCTGCATGAGCTGCTCCTCACCTCACCCCGCTTCTGCCCCCACTCTCGCTTCCCTTCCTCGGCTGTGGTTCTGAGGACACTCCTCCAAGCCCAATGAGGGCCTGTGGTGGCCGTGGTGATGGCCGGCCCCCCTCCGCCCGGGGCCTGTGCCCATGATCCCCCGACCCCATGCACTGCAGGCACACAGGAATAAAATAATGGAGAGTCCTGCTGACCTCAGCGTGTCCCTGTCTGTGCCTCAGTTTCCTTGGCCATGGAATAAAAAGGGGCAGCCAGTCCATGGGGTTCTAAGCATTGCCAGTAGACTTACCTGTCAGAGGAGGGAAACTGAGGCCCAGAGAAGGGGCTGGGTGCAGAGAAGGGAAACTGAGGCCCAGGGTAGGGGTTGGGACCAGAGGAGGGAAACTGAGGCCCAGAGAAGGGGCTGGGTGCACAGAGGGAAACTGAGACCCAGAGGAGGGGCTTGGACCAGAGGAGGGAAACTGAGGCCCAGGGAAGTGGCTGGGACCAGAGGAGGGAAACTGAGGCCCAGCGGGGGGGCTGAGACCAGAGGAGGGAAACTGAGGCCCAGGGTAGGGGTTGGGACCAGAGGAGGGAAACTGAGGCCCGGCGGAGAGGCTGGAACCAGAGGAGGGAAACTGAGACCCAGAGGAGGGGCTTGGACCAGAGGAGGGAAACTGAGGCCCAGGGAAGTGGCTGGGACCAGAAGAGGGAAACTGAGGCCCAGCGGAAGTGCTGGGATCAGAGGAGGGAAACTGAGGCCCAAAGGAGGGGCTAGGTGCAGAGGAGGGAAACTGAGGCTCAGGGTGGGGAAACAGGCCTCTCGGCATGGTGAGGGCCCACGTGTGCGAGCTCACAGCCATGTCTCCCTGGGCCTCCTCCCCCTCCTGCCCGGGCCAGTGCCGGGAAAGGCCTCACCGGAAGGTGGACTCCAAGGAGCAGCCCTCCCCAGCCGGAGGTGCAGGTCCTTCCCGGGAAGCTGGGCCCTTAACCCGGGCGGGGGGCAGCGGGCCTGGTGAATGGGTGGCTTCCCAGCCCCTGACCCCACTTCCTGCGGGCGGGGAGGGGCCGCTGGGCGTGCCCAGCTCTCCTGGGCCCCGTCCTGCGCCCGCCCCGCCGGGTCACATGTGGTGGTCATGCCGCAGAGAGTCTCCGAGAGCCGAGTCCTCACATCCACAGGTTTGGGGGGGCAGGGACACGACATGGCTGGAGTGCCCCCCAAGACAGCACCGGTGGGTGGATACAGGAAGGAGGGTTAGGGTTCCCAGAGGCAGAGGGACCCTCGGGTGCAAAGGTGGGGAAGGCGGGGGTGAGGGAGACACGCAGAGACAGAGTGAGGAAGAGAGACAAGGCAGAGACACAGGGATGGAGAAACAGAGGCAGGACAGAGGCCTGAGGGTCTGGGAGGACCCCAAGACCCCTGGCATCTCAGTCCTAGTCCCGCAGCCAGGCCACTGCCAGCAGGGACTGCACAACTTCTGTCCACAGCTACAGGGACCTTCCTTTTGTCCTGGGGAGACTCAAGACCGCCCCCAACATTGATCCCCTTCCCGGCATTGTCCTGAGCAGCCTCCAGCAGGAAGCCCCCTTCCCACGGAGGGTCCCAGCCGTCCTACCAGCCCCAGACCCCACATCCTGGCCTTCCTGTCCACAGCGGCGGAGGGGGTGTTCCAGAGGGCTGCGGCCCTGAGGGAAGGGGCCGTGGGGGCGCTGGTGTCCAGGACTGAGCACACCCCCAGGCCCTGACAGACCCTTCTCAGCCCAGCTGGGCCAGCCCTCCTGGCTCCCACCCACAGATCAGTTTTAGGGTCTTCATGGCTTTTCTTTGAAGACCCTCATTAGGGCAGGGCCTCGTTGTTGGGCAAGGGTTGAACCCAGTCCAAGGACCCCAGACCTGAGGGTGTCAAGGGGAGTGGGGGAGGAATGAGACTGATGGAGGCTGCAGGGGGGTTGTTCAATAAGTAACCATGTGCGTGCCTGTGTGCATGTCGCTGGGGTGGGTCTGGCTCCCATATTGGGTTTTGTTCGAGTTGAGCCCCTCCCTGCAGGCTGGCTGAGGTGATCATGCCACTGGGCCTGGGCAGGGCTGACTGGCCTCCCTGGGGTCTGTGACCATCTGGTGAGGGGCTGTGGCCGAGTGCTTGGTCCCTAGCAACCCCCAGGAAGCTGGACATGGTGCCCCAGGGGGTGATGCTGGTGTGGTGGTCTCTAGGGCAGCCCCACCTGAGCCGATCAGGAGGGGTCTGGGCATCCGTGGGGCAAGAGGCATACTGGTGAGAGCAGCTTGGGGCTGGCTCTGCCCAGGGAGAGGCGGGGCTTGGAGTCCTTCCGTGCGCTCTGATGCCTCGGTGCTTCCAGGGGCATCTCCAGGCTCACCCCAGCTTCCACAGCCCGGTCTCACAGGTTAAAGGGCCACCCTAGCTGCTCCAAAGACTGGGCCGAGCCAGGAGCAGCACAGGCCTCTCCCAAGGGGCCAGGAGCCTAGAGGGGCACAAGCCACCCACGCATCACATTGAGAGACACTGAATTGTCTACGAACTGCACTCACGAGGTTTGAGACTAGAGAGCTGGCACTTCCACGGCGTGAACACCGTAAAAGGCACTGAACTGTTTCTTAACAAGCCCTGACTTGCCGGGCATGGCAGCTCACCCCTGTAATACCAGCACTTTGGGAGGCTGAGGCTGGCAGATCATGAGTTCGAGACCAGCCTGGCCAACATGGTGAAACCCCATTTCTACTAAAAATAGAAAAAATGGCCGGGCGTGGTGGTGCCCATCTGTAATCCCAGCTACTCAGGAGGCTGAGGCTGGAAAATCAGTTGAACCCGGGAGGCGGAGGTTGCAGTGAGTCAAGATAGTGCCATTGCGCTCCAGCCTGGGTGGCAGGGTGAGACACTGTCTCAAAAAACAAAAACGAAAATAACCCGCGGTGGCTCATGCCTGTAATCCCAGCACTTTGGGAGGCCGAGGCGAGTGGATCACGAGGTCGAGAGATCGAGACCATCCTGGTCAACGTGGTGAAACCCCGTCTCTACTAAAAATACAAAAAATTAGCTGGGCATGGTGGCGCGTGCCTGTAATCCCAGCTACTCAGGAGGCTGAGGCAGGAGAATTGCCTGAACCCGGGAGGCGGAGGTTGCGGTGAGCCGAGATGGCGCCATTGCACTCCAGCCTGGGTAACAAGAGCGAAACTACGTCTCGGAAAAGAAAAAAAAAAAAAAAGAAAGAAAAAGAAAAGAACCCTGTCTTTTCCAACTTGGCGCTAAGGCATTGCAGGTGAGTCCAATTCCACCGCAGCTCCGTGTGTGAAAGCAGGGACAGGATGGCCTGGGAGAGGGTACTGGGACCAGGGTGGGCCTCCACTCCACAGGGCAGTTCATCTCACTGGGTACAAGCTCTGAAGGGAAGTGGTGCAGCCAGCCGGCTCCAAGTCAGCTTCAGCACCGCGAGGGCGGGTCCGCACCTCCTGTAATCCCCCAGGGGCCGGGCAAAACACAGCACCACTCCCTGGCCCCCATGCAGCCCGGCACGCCGGCAGGGCGAATGCCACTGTGCAGAACCATCCCAGCCCTCACAGATCACGAGGTCGGGAGTTTGAGGCCATCCTGGCCAACATGGTGAAACCCTATCTTTACTAAAAATACAAAAATAAGCCGGGTGGGGCGGTGGGGACAGGAGAATGAGAGGCGGAGGTTGCAGTGAGCCGAGACTGTGCCATGCACTCCAGCCTGGGTGACAGAGTGAGACTCCATCTCAAAAAAAAATGAACGGTCCCAGCTCTGCTGCACCCACGGAGCACCAACAGCTCTGCTGCCCGCACCCTGGCCGGACCCGGTCCCCTCTGCTTCGTGGGTCTGCTTCCTCCAGGAGTCACTCAGCCTTTCCAGAGCACAGGATGATGGGTGGCCGCCCCTGGCCTCAGTCCTCCGGGGTCCCGGGTGCGGGGGCAGAGTGTGAGGGGGTGGCCGGGAAGGGCCTTGGACCAGTGCTGCGCTCATCCTCTGTGTGGGTGCAGATGCAGCAGCGCCCCAACTCTGGGTTGGTGGGCTGAGGAAGGCGTCCCGTGCAGGGCTCCGTGGGTGGCTGCGGGGGTCCCAGGCCCCGGTGACAGAAGCCACACGCCCTCGTCTCAGGGCTGCCTTCTCTCAGCCAGGGCGCTCGGCTCTCCTCCTCCCCACGCTTACCAGCCCAGCCCAGCCCATCTGGAGCTCCTGTCCTGCTGGCTGGGCGGGAGCAGGGTCAGCGATGCCCAGACTGGCTCCGGCACTCCCTGGGCCTGTTTCCCCCTCTGTATGGCAGAGGCTGGTGTGCTGATAAACGGGGTGGCTCTGACAGCAGCCCCTGGGCAGGTTCCACGGAAACTGCTGGCCAGGGATGGTGCTCCTCCTGGGCCCCCAAATCCCCCACCCATCCCGTGCAGCGAAGGGGGTGTGCACAGCCCGGAGGCAGAAAATTGCAGCAAGATGCCCCCCATGGTGTGGTACACGCTGGGACCCCAGGCCCTGGGCGACCTGCAGTGTATGGAGAGGGCTCGGTGGGGCATCAGGAGGCGTGGGGGTCTGCAGACACAGCAGGGTGGAGGCCGAGGGGTCATGTGGGCAGGATTCAGAGCAGCTTCTCCACCAGCCCCTGGTGTGGGAGCCCGAGGGGCTGCCCAAGGCCCCCCAGAGCTCCTGCCACCCCGAGAGGAGCTGAGGTCGTCATGGTGCCTTTGTGTCTGCCTTCCAGGCCTGCGAACTCCTGCCTGACACCTGGGGCCCCTGGACCCGTGGGGTCTGTGCTGAGAGGCTGTTGGGCTTGAAGCCTGTCTCCCCACCGTGCCCCCTACTGGCGGCTGTCTCACTAGCTGGCGGAGGGGCCCCAGGACCCCAGCAGTAGCCCTGGTGGGCCTGGGATCCTGACACACAGCCATACCCTCCCCAAGGAAACTGAGGCACAGAGAAGGAACGGCTTCACTCCGTCCGTTGCTTCACCTTGAAACCTCAGTTGCCATCTCTTCCAGGGAGCCCCCAGCGTCCTGAGGAGAACCACAGCGGCCCATCTGTAAGGAGCTGTCCGCCCTTCCAGGCCAGCCCCCTAGCCCCACTCCCTTCCTGTCTCAGCGCCTTCACCAACACCTGGCTTGCCTGCTGCATCCACGCCAGGGCCCAGGGCTCACCTGACTTCCAGCCTTGGGGCCTCAGCACCTTCCCGACACAGGGCTCCTCTGAGGGCCTGCCCTGAATGCTTCGGATCTCCAGGGCCGCCCTGGACTGCCCCGGGTGGGGAGCAGGGCCCCACTCTACGGCCTTCCGTCCCGCTGGACCTTCCTACTCAGCACCAGGACGCCTGCTGGCTGCTTCCTATCTGGCTCCCCATAAACGGCAAGCATCCGAGGGCAGGGCTGTGCCTAGAACCGGCAGAAGCGACTCCCATCAGCGGTATGGCCCTTAGACCCCCGGTCCGGGGCCTCCATCCTCTCTGTGGCTCTGCTGCACCGGGCGGAGGCCCCTCCTGAAATCTGAGACCCACCCCGGGCCACGGCCTGCAACCTCTCCATGGCTCCATGCTGCACGGAGGTCCCCTCCTGAAATCTAAGACACCTGGGCTGGGGCCGCCATCCTCTCTGCGGCTCCACACTGCACCCCCTGAAATCGGTTTTTATCCCAGGAGATGGGAAGCAGTTGGAACAGTCAGCTGAAGGCACCCAGCCCGGGGAAGGTGAGGAGGCAGGCAGGGTGGGAGGTGGCAGTCCTGACAGCAAGTGGAAACGCAGCCAACGGCCGCCGGAAGCTTCGTCTCTTCCTTATTTTTCTGAGATGGAGTCTCACTCTGCTGCCCAGGCTGGAGTGCAATGGCGCGATCTCGGCTCACCGCAACCTCCACCTCCCGGGTTCGAGCGATTCTCCTGCCTCCGCCTCCCAAGTAGCTGGGACTAGAGGCACCCGCCACCACGCCCGGCTAATTGTTGCATTTTTAGTAGAGACGGGGTTTCACCCTGTTGGCCAGGTTGGTCTCGAACTCCTGACTGGAGGTGATCCGCCCACCACGGCCTCCCAAAGTGCTGGGATGACAGGCGTGCACCACCTCGCCCAGCCTTATGTTTCATATGATATATTTTACTTACTACTACCCATTTATTTTCTTATTTCTACCGTGGCCGCTGGACGCAGGGCTCCCGCTCGCTTCTGGGGATGAAGGGCCGGGCTCTGGCCTCGGCACCGGGCAGGGGCTGGGCTTGGGGCCAAATGCGGGTGTTCGCCCTGGACTGGGCGCTCCCCGGGCCTGGCGTTCAGGCGGAGCCGCAGCCCCGCGGCTGGGAGGGTTCCCCCCTGCAAACCCGAGGCCTCCGAGCGCGACTCTCTCCACCCAGCGCGCGCTGAGCCCCGGACACCCCGAGCGCACTCTCCGTCCCTGCGGCTCGCCCCTGCGGGGTTCGGCGGGTGGTTCTCACCGGCTGCCATCCCGACCCCGGGAAACACAAACCCCAACGTGGCATCTGGGGACGTCTGTGGTTGTCACGACCGGGAAGGGGAGACCCTGGCCTCGAACTCGGGGCAGGCCGGGATGCTGCCGGCTCCGCCCCCGAGGATGGCGCCAAGCGCGTCGGGCCCCGGGCGTGGGAAAGCGCGCGCGGAGGGCTAGGGGGACGGGCCTGGCTGTCAGAGGGGCGCGCGGGCGCCGGGTCGCGGAGGGCATGGGGCTGGGCAACGACCCTCGGCTCTGCCCCGAGGGCAGGTCAGGTGTCAGAGGTCGGAGGTCGGGGTCCCGGTCGGGGCCGCGCTCGGCACTGACAGCGCCGCCGTCCCTGACAGCGCCGCCGTCCCTGCCGACGACCTTCTCGTCCCGCGGGGCGCAGCGGATCCGCCGCTCCTCCTCCTTTTCGCGGGTCCCGCTCCCCGCGCCCGTTCCCCAACCCCCGCCCACAGCTCCCGGCAGCCCCCGCGCCACCCCGCAGCGGGACCACAACTCCCGCCATGCCCCGGGGCGCAGGGCGCCCGGTCGCGTGGCCTACAAGGCTTTGCGCGGCGGCGCGGCACCTCTAGCCCGCGGTCGGTCTCCTCGCGTTCCCACGCGGTCGGTCTCCTCGCGTTCCCACGCGTTCCCACGCCCGTGACGGCGGCGCCAGCTTCGGGGGCGCCCGTTAGTTCAACGCAGAGTTACTTGTCGTTATTTATTGATTTCACACGGAGTCTCGCGCTGTCCCCGGGCTGGAGCGCAGTGGCGCGATCTCGGCTCACTGCAGCCTCTGCCCCCCGGGTTCCAGCGATGCTCCTGCCTCAGTCTCCCGAGTGGCTGGGACCACAGGCGCGCGCCACCACGCCTGGCTTATTATTATTATTTTTAAAAATGTTTAATTTTTTGTATTTTTAGTAGAGACGGGGTTTCACCGTGTAGGCCGGGCTGGTCTCGAACTGCTGACCTCTGGTGATCCGCCCGCCTCGGCCTCCCAAAGTGCTGGGAATCACAGGCGTGAGCCACCGCGCCCGGCGTTTTTTTTTTTTTTTGGTAGTTTTAGTAGAGACAGTTTCACCACGTTGGCCAGGCTGGTCTCGAACTCCTGACCTCAGGTGATCCACCTGCCTCACACTTACTATTTTGAAACAGGGTCTCGCTCTGTGCCCCAGGCTGGAGAGCAGCGGCGCGATCTCCACTCACTGCAGCCTCCACCTTGCGACCTCAAGCGATCCTCCCACCTCGACCTCCCAAAGCGTTGGCACCACGGGCACGCGTCACGCGCCGGCCAGCACATCTCTATTGAGTGCCTGCTGCATGCCAAGCGTTGTTTCCGGTGCCACGGAGACAGCAGAGTGCAAGGTAGGCAGACCTCAGCCCCAGGGTCTGCTGCGGGGGTCGGGGTGGTGGAGGGGAGGCCCCGGCGGCTCTGGCGCGGTTGGTCCGTCCCCTCGCGTTCCCATTGGGGGGCGTCGGGGCTGCCTGGTCCCGGGAGGCTCGGCCTGCTCGCATTCTAGGGAGCCGATGGGAAGCGAGGCCCTGAGCCGGGCTGATGATGCCACAAACCCGGGCCTAATACCAAGGCAGGGCCGCGCTGGGAAATGACGGACTTCTCTGCTGGGCACGCCGCCTCCTGCGTGATGAATCCTCCCATCGTGGCTGCCAGCGTGAGTGAACCAGCCGCGCCCAGATCCCTGCCAACTTCTCGGTCGGCTCCAGTGTCAGCAGCTCCAGCCCAGGGGTGGGAAGTACTGCTGGGACCAAGGGCAGGTTGTAGAATCACGTCGGTGGTTCAGGTAGGCCCGGCACTTTGGGAGGCCAAGGCGGGCCGATCACTTGAGGTCTGGAGTTTGAGACCAGCCTCAGCAACATGGTGAAAAGAACCCTGACCCGTCTCTATTTAAAAAATACAAAAATTGGCCGGGCGTGGTGGCTCACGCCTGTAATCCCAGCACTTTGGGAGGCTGAGGTGGGTGGATCACGAGGTCAAGAGATCGAGACCATCCTGGTCAACATGGTGAAACCCCATCTCTATTAAAAATATAAAAAAATTAGCTGGGCATGGTGGTGCGTGCCTGTAATCCCAGCTACTCAGGAGGCTGAGGCAGGAGAATTACCTGAACCCAGGAGGCGGAGGTTGCGGTGAGCCGAGATGGCGCCATTGCACTCCAGCCTGGGTGACAAGAGCGAAACTCCGCCTCAAAAAAAAAAAAAAAAAAAAAATTAGGCAGGTGTGGCGGCAGGTGCCTGTAGTCCCAGCTACTTGGCAGGCCGAGGCAGGTAAATCATTTGGACCCGGGAGGCGGAGGTTGCAGTGAGCTGAGATCGGGGCACTGCACTCCAGCCTGGGCGACAGAGCGAGACTCCCTCTCAGAAAGAGAAAAAAAAATCAATCAATTAATCAATGAATCAGTGATCCAGGGAGGATCCTGGAGATGGAGAGATTTGAGCAATGGCTTGCAGGAGGGGAAGGGTTGGCAGCCAAACCTGGGACGGGGTGTTCCGGGCAGAAGGCAGGGTGAGTGCAGAGGCTGAGGCCAGCGGGCCCAACAGAGCCAGAGAGGGGACAAAGGCCCTGCGTGTGTGACCTTGGACACAGCAGACAGTGGAGCCCGCTGCGACCCCTCTCCAGCCCTCCAAGTTCTCGGAAGACAAGCCCTTCCTTCCTCTGACGTTTGGTGTCCTCGTCTGTCTCATGGGGACTTGCCAGACGTGGGCTGGTCCCCAGCAGAGCCTGAGAGCTGGTCCTGTCCTCACTGTCCCACGGGGACAGTGGGCTCTTTCTGGATGAGGAGGGAGGGCGGCTGGCAGGTCCTCTGTGTCCTCGGGGGAAGAACAAGCCTCCGTTGTTCGAGGCTCTGGAACAAAGGGACGGGCAGCGGCGGATCGCGTGAGTCTGAGTCAGGGGTCTGGCCGACAGACAAAGGACGGCACTGAGCGTCCTCAGGGAAGCGGGAAGGGGCAGGTCACAGAGGCCGGGAGCACGAGCTGACCCTGGCCGGGCCGGCGGCAGCACCCACAGACACCTGGTCTCCCCTCTCCTGCTGCACCGGGTGCCAGGGACAGAAACAGCCGGCCGTCCATGGAACCCGGCCTCCTGGGAGGCGCCTCCCAGCTGCCCCAGCCTCACCTGCCGCCTGGGGATGTGTTTTGGAAAAGAATGGTGGGCGGCCAGGCGCCGTGGCTCACGCCTGAAATCCCAGAACTCTGGGAGGCTGAGGCAGGCGGGTCACGTGAGGTCAGGAGTTTGACACCGGCCTGAACACTATGGTGAAGCCCGTCTCTACTAAAAACACAAAAATTAGCCAGACATGGTGGTGCGTGCCTGTAGTCCCAGCTACTCGGGAGGCTGAGGCCGGAGGATCACTTGAACCCGGGAGGTGGAGGTTGTGGTGAGCCGAGATGGCGCCACTGCCCTCCAGCCTGGGCGACAGAGCGAGACTCTGCCTCAAAAAAGAAGAAAGAGGCCGGGTGCGGTGGCTCAAGCCTGTAATCCCAGCACTTTGGGAGGCCAAGGCGGGTGGATCACGAGGTCAAGAGATCGAGACCATCCTGGTCAACATGGTGAAACCCCGTCTCTACTAAAAATACAAAAAATTAGCTGGGCATGGTGGCGCGTGCCTGTAATCCCAGCTGCTCAGGAGGCTGAGGCAGGAGAATTGCCTGAACCCAGGAGGCGGAGGTTGCGGTGAGCCAAGATCGCGCCATTGCACTCCAGCCTGGGTAACAAGAGCGAAACTCCATCTCAAAAAAAAAAAAAAAAAAAAAAAGAAGAAAGAGGCCGAGGTGGGTGGATCACCTGAGGTCAGCAGTTCAAGACCAACCTGGCCGACAAGGTGAAACCCCGTCTCTATGAAAAAAAAAAAAAAAAAAAAGGGCCGGGCGTGGTGGCTCACACTGTAATCCAAGCACCAAGGCGGGCGGATCACATGAGGTTGGGAGTTCAAGACCAGCCTGACCAACACGGTGAAACCCCGTCTTAAAAAAAGAAAAAAAAGAGTGTGGGAACTTGGGGTGGGTCCAGTGGCTGACAGCTGCCGTCCGGCGCTTGGGAGGCTGAGGCTGGAGGATCGCTGGAGCCCAGGAGGCGGAGGCTGCACCACGCTTCCCGTATCCTCTGATCAGCCCTGTCCCTCCTCAGTGAGCAGCAATGGTGCCGCCACACTCCGGCCGGATGGCGCGGGCAGACGTCGTCCCCAGAGCACAGTGGGGACTCGGATGCCCCGCAGCCCCAGCAGTGACGTCGGGCATCAGCTACCAGCGCGTTTCCGTCCACGCACTTCAGCGGGCGCTCACCGCGTCCCTGCGCTGGGAGGCTGCGTTCAGGATGCCGCGGGCGTTGTGGGGTTCGGGCCACGCAGATCCTGCCTCTGCATGTTCACGTGTGCACACACGCGTGTTCACCTGCCCGTGTGCTGTGTGTGTGTGTTCACCTGCCTGTGTGCTGTGCAGGTGTGTGTGTTCACCTGCTCGTGTGCTGTGTGTGTGTGTGTTCACCTGCCCGTGTGCTGTGTGTGTGTGTTCACCTGCCCGTGTGCTGTGTGTGTGTGTGTTCACCTGCTCGTGTACTGTGTGTGTGTGTTTCACCTCCCCATGTGCTGTGTAGGGGTGTGTGTGTGTGCACCTGCCCGTGTGCTGTGCAGGTGTGTGTGTGTTCACCTGCCCGTGTGCTGTGTGTGTGTGTGTTCACCTGCCCGTGTGCTGTGTGTGTGTGTGTGCATTGTGTGTGTTCACCTGCCCGTGTGCTGTGTAGGTGTGTGTGTGTTCACCTGCCCGTGTGCTGCGTGTGTTCACCTGCCTGTGTGCTCTGTGTGTGTGTGTGTTCACCTGCCCGTGTGCTGTGCAGGTGTGCTGTGTGTGTGTGTGTTCCTACCTGCCCGTGTGCTGTGTGTGTGTGTGTTCACCTGCCCATGTGCTGTGTGTGTGTGCACCTGCCCGTGTGCTGTGTGTGTGTATGTTCACCTGCCCGTGTGCTGTGTAGGTGTGTGTGTGTTCACCTGCCTGTGTGCTGTGTGTATGTGTTCACCTGCCCGTGTGCTGTGCAGGTGTGTGTGTGTGTGTGTTCACCTGCTTGTGTGCTGTGTGTGTTCACCTGCTCGTGTGCTCTGTGTGTGTTCACCTGCCCGTGTGCTGTGCAGGTGTGTGTGTGTGTGTTCACCTGCCCGTGTGCTGTGTGTGTGTGTTCACCTGCTCATGTGGTGTGTGTCCACCTGCCCATGTGCTGTGTGTGTGTGTGTTCACCTGCTCGTGTGCTGTGTGTGTGTGTTCATCTGCCCGTGTGCTGTGCAGGTGTGTGTGTGTTCACCTGCCCGTGTGCTCTGTGTGTGTGTTCACTTGCTCATGTGCTGTGTGTGTGTGTTCACCTGCTCATGTGCTATGTGTGTGTGTGTGTGTTCACCTGCTCATGTGCTATGTGTGTGTGTGCGTTCACCTGCCCGTGTGCTGTGTGTGTGTTCACCTGCTCATGTGATGTGTGTGTGTGTTCACCTGCCCGTGTGCTGTGTGTGTGTTCACCTGCTCATGTGGTGTGTGTCCACCTGCCCATGTGCTGTGTGTGTGTGTGTGTTCACCTGCCCGTGTGCTGTGTGTGTGTGTGTTCACCTGCCTGTGTGGGGTGTGTGTGTGTGTGTTCACCTGCCTGTGTGGTGTGTGTGTGTGTGTGTTCACCTGCCCGTGTGCTGTGTGTGTGTGTGTTCACCTGCCCGTGTGCTGTGTGTGTGTGTGTTCACCTGCCTGTGTGGTGTGTGTGTGTGTGTGTGTTCACCTGCCTGTGTGCTGTGTGTGTGTTCACCTGCCCATGTGCTGTGCAGGCGCACACGTGTGTGTGTATGAGCCTGCCTGTGTGTGCCGTGTCCGTGTGTACGCCCGCGTGGTGTAAATGTGCAGGCGTGTGTAAATGCATGTGCGTGTGGTGCGCGTTTCATGGAAGAGCACAGCAGGGACCCCCCCATAGAGCACTGAGCAGGTCAGCAGGTCCTGCTCTAGCTGAGGCCACACCTGCCATTCCAGAACGCCCCTCCCTCTCTCTCTCCTCTCCCCACGGCGTCTGAGAAAACCCTGTGAGTTCTGCCTCCGAGACACGCCCGGAAGCCACTCGCCTGTGACCCCCGGCCTGGGCGCCGTGGCACCCCACGCGGTGTGGTCGCCTCCTCAGATCTTCCCTGCCCCACCTTCCCACCCTCAGTGGATTCCTTCAAACGGAAGTCAGGCCGGGCCCTCCTCTGCTCTGGCAGAGACCTCGGCCACGGCTCCCACCTGGCTCAGGGTGAAACCCGGGGTCCTTCTGGTGTTCAGGCTCTGCACGGCCTGCTGGGTCAGCCCCCGCCCTCCCCCCTCGCGCTGCTGCAGCCAGCCTGACCTCCTCACTGCTCCTTCACCTTCTCAGCAGGTGCTTTCCTGCCCCAGGGCCTTTGCACGGCAGTGCCCTTCCCAGACGCCCCTTAGATCTCTGCACAGCTGGCATCCCTTAGAGGGCCTCACCTCTTTTTTGGGGGGACAGTCTTGCTCTTTCCTCAGGCTGGAGTACAATGGCGCCATCTCAATTCCCTGCAACCTCCACCTCCCGGGTTCAAGCAATTCTCCTGCCTCAGCCTCCTGAGTAGCTGGGATGACAGGCACGCGCCACCATGCCCAGCTAATTTTTGTATTTTTAGTAGAGACAGGATTTCAACATGTTGGCCAGGATGGTCTCGATCTCTTGACCTCGTGATCCGCCCGCCTCGGCCTCCCAGAGTGCTGGGATTACAGGCGCACCCGACCAAAGGTTCTCACGTCTTTCAGGCCTTTGCTAACGTTTCACTTCTTCGGTGGGGGTGGGGGGCTTCCTGAGGTTTCATTTCTGTGATCGGGTCCCTGTACCCCAGCCTGAGCACGGAATGAGATCCTGTCTCAAAAATCAGTAAAACGCCGGGCGCGGTGGCTCAAGCCCGTAATCCCAGCACTTTGGGAGGCCGAGGCGGGTGGATCACGAGGTCAAGAGATCGAGACCATCCTGGTCAACATGGTGAAACCCCGTCTCTACTAAAAATACAAAAAAATTAGCTGGGCATGGTGGCGCGTGCCTGTAATCCCAGCTACTCAGGAGGCTGAGGCAGGAGAATTGCCTGAACCCAGGAGGCGGAGGCTGCGGTGAGACGAGATCGCGCCATTGCACTCCAGCCTGGGTAACGAGCGAAACTCCGTCTCAAAAAAAAAAAAAAAAAAATCAGTAAAAGAGAGGCGTGTGTGTTCACCGCGTTATTTGCTGTTGTCCCAAGCTGGAAGCTCTGAGGGAATCACGGCATCTTGGTGGGGTGGAGCATCGTCCAGCAGCAGAGGTGAGTGACGGACAGCGGTCGCCAACACCAGGACCAACCTCACGGGCGGGGGGGCGTCTCGGGAGTGCCCGTCCCATTCCCGTGCCGCACGCATGAGGCAAAGCAGGGCCTGGCTCTAGGGGCAGGATGGTGGCTGATGGGTGGAGGGAGGGAAGGTGGCCGCAGGGTTTCCAGGGGCTTCCCGGGGGTCTGGAGACCTTGTGCATCTCAGAGCTAGCCCCAGGGAGGTGATTGGTCCCAGAGCTTTCGGGGAGCCGTGGAGGAAGCGCGGATCGCATGTCTCTGCTGCAGGGACTCCCGCAGGCTCTGTGGACATGAGGATGGGATGGTTCTCTGGGTGGGGTGGTTCTGGCCACTGCAGGGTGCCCCGTGGCATCTCTGCCCCCACCCACTCCATGCCGAGAGCTCCCAGGTGTGACAACACAGATGTTCTTGGACATTGCCCAGGGTCCCCTGGGGGTGGTCACCTGGGCTGGGAACCCCTGGTCTGTTGATTTTAGCCCGCCATGATCTCATAGCTCCACGTCTTTGGAACGGGGGGAGCCTGCGTGCCCCGGGGAGTGGTGAGGGGCTCAGGCAGGTGGACGTCTGTGGTGAGGAGCCTGGGCTACATGGGGTGGGAGCCGGGATGGGCGTCTGTGTAGGGCTCCCGTGGTCACTTCGGAAGAGCTGGTTCTGGCAGAGATGGAGAGTGGCCTTTTGGGGCAAGGAGAGGCGCCCCGGGATCCCCGAGGAAGTGGGGGTGGGCGTGGGGGCAGGATGGGGCCCTGGACTGGGGTGTGTCCGTGGCCTGGAGGGCAGTGGCCAGGTGCTAGGTGGGCTTTGGATCCAGGACTGGGTGTTGGGTGTGGGCAGAGGAGTCAGGAAGCAGCCCCAGGGGCTGGAGGTGCCATTTACAGGCGTGGGGAAAGGCTGGAAGAGGGTGTTTGAATGATAACGGGCCAGATGCCCTTGTCCTCAGAGCTTCCCTATGGACTCAGGCTGACACATGCCCGTTTACAGACGAGGAGACTGATGCCCAGCGGCAGAGTGACCCACCAGGGACCACCCAGTGCCTGATCCAGAAATCTCGATTCACGGGCGGAGGAGGTCTGGCCGGGAAATTCACAGCAGGAAATCGCCAAGGAGCGAAACTGGGTGCCCGTTGAGGGGCGGGCCTGGGGCAGCACAGGAAGGTGGCCAGGGGAGGGGGTGATGTGGGTCCCAGAGAGGCAGGCGTGGGTCAGCAGGACGGGGCCCGCAGGGGCCAGGAACACTCTGGACTTGAGTCCTGGGTCCACTGCCTGCTAGCTTCGTGACCTCTGCTTCTGTTGATGGTGAAGGTCACGTGTGGGGTAGCGCCTGTGGGCACCGTCCTGGCCGCAGAGCCGTTCCGAAGTAGAGTGTAACCTGCCCCGTGTCAGGGGTGCCCTCCTGACCTCACGCTGTACACAGTGGGCGATTAATAACTGCCCATTTACGAAGGCCGTGTTGGAAATAGATGTTCGGTGCCGAAAAGAAAAACCATCTTTCCCATTATCCATCTCCATCAACCCTTCTGTCATCCTTCCCATCATCCTCCCATAATCTTCCCACCATCCTTCTCCATCATCCTTCCTGTCATCTATCCCCATCATTCTCCCATAATCCTCCCATGATTCTCCCCTGATCCTTCTCAATCATCCTCCCATCATCCATCCCCATCATCCATCCCCATCATCCATCATCCTTCTCCATCATCCTTCTCCGTCATCCTCCCATCCTCCTCCTCCTCCTTCTCAATCATCCTCCCATCATCCTCCCATCCTCCTCCTCCTCCATCATCCTCCCATCATCCTTCCCTTCATCCTTCTCCTCCTCCTCCATCGTCCTCCCAATCATCCTCCCATCATCCTTCTCCTCCTCCTCCTTCATCATCCTTCCCATCATCTTTCTCATTATCCATCTCCATCAACCCTTCCATCATCCTTCCCATCATTCTCCCATTATCTTCCCATCATCCTCCCATCATCCTCTCATCATCCTCCCATGATCCTCCCAACATCCTTCCTGTCATCCATCCCCATAATCCATCCCCATCATCCATCCCCATCATCTTTCTCCATCATCCATCCCATCATCCTCCCATCATCCATCCCCATCATCCTTCCATCATCCTTCTCCATCATCTTTCTCCATCATCCATCCCCATCATCCACATCATCCTCCCATCATCCATCCCCATCATCCTTCGATCATCCTTCTCCATCTCCATCTCATCATCCATCCCCATCATCCTTCGATCATCCTTCTCCATCTCCATCTCATCATCCATCCCCATCATCCTTCGATCATCCTTCTCCATCTCCATCTCATCATCCATCCCCATCATCCTTCGATCATCCTTCTCCATCTCCATCTCATCATCCATCCCCATCATCCATCCCCATCATCCTTCTCCATCATCCTCCCATCATCCATCCCATCATCCTCCCATCATCCATCCCCATCATCCTTCCATCATCCTTCTCCATCATCCTTCCCATCATCCTCCCATCATCCATCCCCATCATCCTTCTCCATCATCCTCCCATCATCCATCCCCATCATCCTTCTCCATCATTCTTCCATCATTCATCCCCATCATCCTCCCATCATCCATCCCCATCATCCTTCCATCATCCTTCTCCATCATCCATCCCATCATCCATCCCCATCATCCATCCCATCATCCATCCCCATCATGCACCCCATCATCCATCCCCATCATCCTTCCCAGCCTGTGACGCCCTTTCCCGGTGCCGCCCCCACCCTGCTCCCCTCCCAGTTGTCACCAGAGGGCGCCTGTAAGCTCCGATTGGGCCACGTCCCTGCCCACAGCTGTCGCGTCCCCCACGTCCCTCTGGGTAGAAGCCCAGACGCTCCCCACAGCCCCCAAGCCCTGCGGGCCCCTCCGCCTCGCCTCCCTCCCCACTCCGCCCTTGCTCTCGTGGCTCCAGCACATGGGCCTCCTCCCCGGGTCTCATGCACTCCAGGCATGGTCCTGCCTAGGGCCTCTGGGTGTGCAGCCTGGTCTGTCGGCCTGGAATGCCCTCCCCCGCCTCCTCCGGTCTCTGCAGGAGCGTGACCTTCTCAGCGAGGCTCTGGACCGCCCCGTTCACACGGCAGACGCCCACACCGCCAGCCCCCTCCCCGCGTTCCCTCCATAGCACCACAAACCCTCTGCGTGCACGTAAAATCCACCTACTGCCTGCCTGTCTCGACGGGAAAGGGAGGACGAGGAACTTGGTTTTTTTTTTTTTTGAAATGGAGTCTCCTCTGTCGCCCAGGCTGGAGTGCAATGGCGCGATCTCGGCTCACCGCAACCCCCGCCTCCCGGGTTCAGGCAGTTCTCCTGCCTCAGCCTCCCGAGTAGCTGGGACTACAGTCGCCCACCACTGTGCCTGACTAATTTTGTATTTTTAGTACAGACGGGGTTTCACCACCTTGGCCAGGCTGGCCTCTGGTCTCGAACTCCTGGCCTTGAGCTCCACCCACCTTGGCCTCCCAAAGTGCTGGGATTACAGGTGGGAGCCACCGCGCCCGGCCGGAACTTGTGTGTTTTTTTTCTCCTCCCGTTTTCCCAGCACCTGAGCAGGGCCTGGCCCCAAACACCGGCTGAATTCCCAATGACGGCGAGAACAAGACTCCGGGGAGCGCGGACGGCGTCACCTCCCGGACAACGAGGCCTGGCAGCGGGGCCTGGGGCCTGGGGCAGGCACCCGGCCTCTCACCCACTCCAGCCGCCCCTTTTCTCACTGCCGGTATTTAATCTCTCTTGTGGCTCAGACAGGATTAAAATCAGGGCTCATCTGCATGTGCGCTGAATTCATTTGCATCTCATCTGCAAGCCCTGTGCTTAGCAGTTGGGACACGCTCTGAGCCGAGCAGGGTGTTGATAGAATCCAGAGGGGGTCAGATGAAGGGGGACTGTGGCTGGAGGGGCCCCAGTCCGGTCGGGTGAGGCTGCCGGTGTGGCGGGCTTTCCATCCCGTCTGTCTTCTTCCCCTGTGTTAGCTTTCGGCTTCACCCCTGGTAAAATGGGGAAATGAGGCAGGTGCGGCCGGGTCCTGGCTGGAACCCGGTTGGAGGGTTCTCTTCCTGCAGGGGAGGCAGGTGTCACAGCTTATAGCACAGAGGGGAAACTGAGTCAGTCGGGGCCGAGTCCCTGCTGGAACCAAGGTCTCTGGCTATTGGCCCTTAGTGGCTGATATGGCCTGGACCTGGTGACCTGGATGTGAGATGGGATGGGGTTGAGGGAAAACTTTGATTTTTTTTTTTTTTGAGACAGAGTTTCACTCTTGTTGCCCAGGCTGGAGCGGAATAGTGTGATCTCAGCTCACTGCAACCTCCACCTCCTGGGTTCAAGAGATTCTCCTGCCTCAGCCTCCCAAGCAGCTGGGATTACAGGCACCCACCATCATGCCCAGCAAATTTTTGTATTTTTGTAGCGACAAGGTTTCACCATGTTGACCAGGCTGGTCTCGAACTCCTGACCTCAGGTGATCGACCCACCTCTGCCTCCCAAAGTGGTGGGATTACAGGCATGAGCCACTGCGCCCGGCCCGGCTGCTTCTTTTCTGTCTGTTCCTGTCCAGTTCTCACCACCCCAAACAGAGATGGGTACACAGTAGGTGCCCAGTGAGTGCGTGTGGGATGGATGAGTGACAGGTTGAGGGAATGAATGCTTCGTGGCTCGGAGCTGCAGCTCCCAGAGTGGTGAGCTTGCTGTCTGACTGTGGGCTGCACCTCAGGCTCCCTGGGTGCAGAAACGGGGCCACGCCGGCCTGACCCCACCAGGCCCTTCTGCGGCGAGGCTGTGGGTGTCGTGTTTGTGGGTTTAGTTCCCTGGGGCCGGCCCTGGCCCTTGTGGCCCAGCTGCACCGGCTCCCGCGAGACTCACTGCTGACACCGGACTCTCTCCTGGCCGACACCTGATCCCGGCCCCACTTCCAGGCCGGTGTCCGTCTGACCAGCCCGCATCGGGCCAGGGCCCCTCGACTCCCTGGGGCAGGACAAGGGGCCGTCTGTGTGGCCCTGGTGGTGGCAGGGACGGTGCCTGGGCCTGTGGCTGCCAGAGCTTTGAGGGCTCGGGAGGTGGCACCGGGACCCGTGGGTGCTGCGGGGACGTCGCCTGCCCACCATGGGGACCCTCAGCTGCGACTACGCCCCACGGCTGGGCCGGTGCTTGACGGAGAGCCAGATTCCTAAGACCAGCCTGAGGAAGTCCTGTGGGACGGCCGCCCTGGAGAACGGTGCGTGCCGGCCACGGGGGACGGGTGGGACCCTTTCCTGCTCCACTTCCTGCACTTCTGGGGCTTCTGGAATGTTCTGGGAGTCCAGCAGGAGGCCGGAGTTTCTGGCAAGTCCTTGCCCTTCCCCAAACCTCAGTTTTCCTTCCGGCAGGATGGGTGTGGACTCGGGGTTTCTGTGCCCCGAGTGTGTCTGTTAACCGATGCTGAGTGCTCTGTGGGCCCGGCCCTTGCCAGGGCCGTGGGGGCAGCAGTGGGCAAAGCCACAGAGATCGTGTGGGAGGCAGCAGTGTTCCCAGCCTGGCCCTCTGGGACAGGCGCCCTAGACAACACAGGGGGGGCGGGGGGCACAGGTGCGGAGGCTGCTCTGCTGGGAGCCATGTCCGCTGCTGGCCTCGGTGAGGGCACAGGCTGGGCCTCAGTTTCCTCACCCACCATAAGCAGCTGGAGTCAGGCTCCAAGCCAGGGCCTGGGGCTGGTTCTGTGGTCTCTCCTGACCCCTGTGGCAATGAGATTCTGCAGAAGTCACAACACGTGGCATCGTGACTCTGTATCTCTGGGAGGCCCAGGCCTCAGTCTCCCCACCTGTGCCTGTATCTCTGCCTGGGCCTCAGTTTCCCCACCTGTGGCCCTGTATCTCTGAGAGGCACCAGTCTCCCCACCTGTGCCCCAGGGTGAGGCTTGCTGCCCCAGCCTTCCCTCTGTGATCTGTGTCTGACTCACAATGCTGGTCTCACACTTTGTCCACGGAGGGCAGCAGCCTCTGGCTCCCCAGGCCCCAGCCCTCACCGTGGAGGGAGAGGGGAGCCCAGGCTGAGGCTCAGGAGCTGGGTCCGGGGCTCCTTCCTCGGGGAATCTGGGCCCAGGCGGTGACCTGAGGGCTTTGGGCTGCAGGCTCGGGGCCAGGCTTGTATGCCCTGCCGTCCACCGTGGGCTTCATCAAGCACGACTGCACCAGGGTGGCCGGCCCGGCCTACTCGCTCGTCCGGAGGCCAAGTGAGGGTAAGGCAGGCGGGCGGGTGGCGGGGGGGGGGCTTCCCTGCTCCTCCAATCTCCCCCTGAAGCACTGAGGGGTCTCCTTGCCCCTTAGATCCAGGCCCCCATCAGCGGGGCAGGAGGCAGGTAGGGCCAGGCTCTCAGCCCACTCCACCCTCCTAGTTGCTGTGAGACCTCAGGCAAGCTGCTGTCCCTCTCTGTTTTTTCGCTGATAAAGAGAACGGCAGGAGAAAGAGCTGCAGGGAGGTGAAGACCTCTATTTCCCTTCCTGTGTTTGAATTCCTTGCTGCTTGGACTCGGGCAAATTGCTTAAGCGCCCTGCAGCTCAGTTTCCCTCAAAGTTAACAACGGTAATACAAACGTTAACATTCATAATATTAAAAACAATAGGCCGGGTGTGGTGATTCACGCTGGTAATCCCAGCACTTTGGGAGGACTGAGGCGGGTGGATTGCCTGAGACCAGGAGTTTGAGACCAGCCTGGCCAACATGGCGAAACCCCGTCTCTACTAAAAAGACAAAAACTAGCCAGGCGTGGTGGTGCGCGCCTGTGATCCCAGCCGGACCACATGTAACTAGGAAGACCGGGTTAAGGACTCAGGAGGCTGAGGCAGGACAATCGCTTGAACCTGGGAGGCGAGGATGCGGTGAGCTGGGGTCACGCCATTGCACTCCAGCCTGGGGACAGAGCAAGACAATGTCTCAAAAAAAAAAAAAAAAAAAAAAAAAAAAAAAAAGTAAAAGGGCTGGGCGTGGTGGCTCACTCCTGTAATCCCAGCACTTTGGGAGGCGGAGGCGGGTGGATCCCTTGAGGTCAGGAGTTTGAGACCAGCCTGGCCAACATGGAGAAACCCTGTCTCTACCAAAAATACAAAATTAGCCGGCGTGGTGGTGCATGCCTGCAGTCCCGGCTACTGGGGAGGCTGAGGCAGGAGAATCGCTTGAACCAGGAGGCGGAGGTTGCGGTGAGCTGAGGTCGTGCCACTGCGCTCCAGCCTGAGTGACGAGAGTGAAACTCCATCTCAAAAAAATTTAAAAAAATAAAGAAAAGAGAAAACAGTAGCCACATCAATGCCTGGTAAGTGCTCAGTACCTGGTAAGTGCTCAGTCAGGTGTGAGGCTGAGCCCCGGCCCCTCCACCATCGAGACTGTGGCTCCCCAGGCCTGGCCCATGTCACTGGGCTGCCCTAAGCACAGCGTGGACGTTCCCGGCTGCTGCACAGGCAGGTGCGGTGGGAGCAGAGGCAGGTGTGGGGCGTGCCGGTGCCCGGTACCAGGGGCTGGTGGCCCCTCTCCCTGTGTGGCACCTGCTGCTGTCCAGAACGGGCACAGAGGCTGTGACAGGCTCCCATAGAGTGAAGCGGCTCAGGGGTGACTGCCTGCCTGGTGCACAGGGAGCTCTCTGTGTTCGTTGGTGGCGCTCCTACCACGGGCCCGCAGGTCTCACTCCCCCAAATTCCATCAGCCCATTCCCTATACCGCTCCAAGGTCCCAGCTGGGCTGGGAGCAAGGTTGGAAGGGTCTTGTGTGGGGATTTAGATTTACATGGAAGGAGGCCTGCTAGGAGGGGCGGCCTGGGGAGGGGCGGCCTGGGGAGGGGCGGGGCACAGCCTGTTCTCAGCCTTCAGAATGAGCAAAAATCCCAGAGCACACTGGGACTCAGGGAGCTGCAAGGGGTCCCAGAAGGCCGGTCAAGGCGCTGGCATCCCCCGTCCCCAGGACCCGGTTAAGAACTTAGTCTATGACCCAGACAGACCTGAGTTCCCAGGTTCAAACCCCAGTCTCAGGACACTTCCTGGGACAGAGGGGCAGAGACAGCCTGGGGAGTGTGGTGCAGGGGGGAATCCTGCAGACTTTGCTGAAGGCCCAGGCTAGCCTTCTTGAAAATGGAGCATGGGATCTGGGTTTTGTAGCATGAGTAGGAGTTTGGTGGAGCCTCCAGAAGAATGGAACTCCAGGCAGAGCCTGCTGTGTAGGCTGAGGCCTTGAGGTGATCGATGTCATGATGAGCTAGGGTGTGTTCATTTGTCAGGGGGCAGCCAGGGGATGGAACGGGCAGAAGAAAAGGCTGGAATGTTGGAGGCTAAGATCAGAGCTTCAGCAGGTGGAGTCCTGGTGGCGAGTTCTGCACAGGGAGTGTTTGAAGCGAGTCTTGGTCACATGAGTGAGGCCCAGGCATCCAAGGAGAGGCTGTGTGATTACCATCAAGGATTTTTATTTTATTTATTTATTTATTTATATATTTTTTTGAGACAGAGTGTCGCTCTTGTTACCCAGGCTGGAGTGCAATGCCACGATCTCGGCTCACCGCAACCTCCGCCTCCTGGGTTCAAGCAATTCTCCTGCCTCAGCCTCCTGAGTAGCTGGGATTACAGGCACGCGCCACCATGCCCAGCTAATTTTTTGTATTTTTAGTAGAGACGGGGTTTCACCACGTTGACCAGGATGGTCTCGATCTCTCGACCTCGTGATCCACCCGCCTCGGCCTCCCAAAGTGCTGGGATTACAGGCTTGAGCCACCGCGCCCGACCTTATTTATTTTTTTGAGACGGAGTCTCACTGTGTCACCCAGCAGGCTGGAGTCCAATGGCGCGATCTCGGCTCACCGCAACCTCCGCCTCCTGGGTTCAGGCAATTCTCCTGCCTCAGCCTCCCGAGTAGCTGGGATTACAGGCACGCGCCACCACGCCCAGCTAACGTTTTGTATTTTTAGTAGAGACAGGGTTTCACCATGTTGACCAGGATGGTCTTGATCTCTTGACCTCGTGATCCACCCGCCTCGGCCTCCCAAAGTGCTGGGATTACAGGCGTGAGCCACCGCACCCGGCCTAACTTTTGTATTTTTATAGGGATGGGGTTTCTCCATGTTGACCGGGCTGGTCTTAAACTCCTGACCTCAGGTGATCCACCTGCTTTGGCCTCCCAAAGTGCTGGGATGACAGGCGTGAGCCCCTCTTAAGTGTGCCCAAGCCCTGGCTCAGAGCCTACTCTTATTACTCCTACTCTGTGTACAGTTTGTTTTCTTTTGAGGCTGTGTCTTGCTCTGTCGCCCAGGCTGGAGTGCGGTGGCGCGATCACAGCTCACTGCAGCCTCGGCCTCCCAGGGTTCAAGTGATCCTCCCCCTTCAGCCTTTCGAGTGGCTGGGACCCCAGGTGCGTGCCACCATGCCCGGCTAATTTTTCGATTTTTAGTAGAGATGGGATCTCGCTGTGTGGCCCATGCTGGTCTCAAAGTCCTGAGCTCAAGGGACCCTCCTGCCTCAGCCTCCGAAAGCACTGGGATTACAGGTGTGCCCCGCCGCACCCGGCCTGATGATGTCCAGGTCCGACACACCTTGAGCTGGCTCTCCAGCCCACACCCGCACGGGGGTTAGAGGGCAGAGGTGGCCACAGACAGTGGCAGAGCAGAGCCTGCGGGACTCACTTTGATTTCAAGGACACAGAAGCACTGGATGAGACCCGAGGCCGCCCAGTGCAGGCAGCCGTGACTCCGTGCCCCCAGCGTGACCACTCTGAGATGGGGCTGGGGCTGCCCTTGACCTGCTGGGAGTGTCTTGGGCCCAGCAGGGGTGCTGAGGCTGGGGGCTGGGTCAGGCGCCATCTTTTAAACACCCTCAGGTCTCTGGGCTCCTCCCCCCAGCAGCACCTCAGGACACCAGCCCGGGACCCATCTACTTCTTGGACCCCAAAGTCACACGCTTTGGACGCAGCTGCACCCCTGCCTACTCCATGCAGGGCCGCGGGAAGTCTCGGGGTGAGTACTGGACCCACGCAGCCACACAGGGACCCCTCCAAGGCCTCAGCGACGCTCCCGCCCTGGGCTCCCTCTCCCTCTTATCCTCGGAGTCCTTAGAGTGCCAGTGTCTTTGGAGTGATCAAATCCAAAGGCCCCGGAGGAGGGGCCGCCACGCCAGTGCCCACAGGGGCTGGGAGACCTGGGTGAGGGAAATGAGTCAGCGTCACAGAGGCCCTGGGCACACACCCACCCCAGGGCAGCTGGCCTTGCTGTCAGAAGGTGAGAGGTGAACGGGGACTGTGGCAAATCGCCAACGTCCTTCACGGGCACCCGACAGCCTGCCCGAGCACCTGACACAGCTGCCTGACTGCATTCTTTCCCCCACCTGCCCACCCACCCAGCCATCCATCCATCCACTCATCCATCTACTCACCTAGGATGCACCCACTATCCGTCTATCCACCATCCATGTATCCATCCACCTGCTCACCCACCCACCTACCTGTCCAACCAGTCATCCATCCACCCACCCAGCATCCACCTACCCATCCACCCACCCATCCAGCCACTCACCCACCCACTTACCCAACCATCTCTCCACCCGTCCATCCACTCCACCCACCCATCTACCATCCATCTACCCACCCAGCCACCCACTATCTATCCACACACCTACCCATCCATCCACCCACCCATCCATCTATCCACCATCCATGTACCCATCCACCTGCCCACCCACCCACCTATCCACCTGTCCAACCAGTTGTCCATCCACCCACCCAGCATCCACCCACCCAACTAACCATCTCCCTACCCGTCCATTCACTCCACCCACCTATCTACCATCCATCTGCCCACCCATCTACCCACCCATCCATCTCTCTACCCAGCCATCCACTCATCCATCTGCCCACCTACCATCTACCCATTCATCCATCTATCCACACACCCACCCATTCATCCACTTGCCCATCCATCCACCCATCTACCCGCTTGTCCACCCACCCAGCCCTCCATTCATCCCCCATCCACCCACCCATCCATCTACCCATCCACCCACCGACCCATCCACCTATCTATCCATCCTTCCACATCCATCCATCCATCCATCCATCCATCCATTCACGGATCACAAACCAGTCACTCCTCACTCAGCCGCTCGCCTCCTACCTATCCTGTTAACCCATCAGCTCAGTCAACCGCTGAGGAGTTGGAGTAGATTTGACTTTACTTTTTCCAAGATCCCAGTCTGGTGGGGCGGTTAGAGGCAGATGCAGACCATCCCACCTCTGTGCTGACACCTGGAGAGGGGACAGCCCAGGCTGCGGGGCTCGGGAAGGGCTCAAGGGCTTTACCCTGGATGGTGTGGGGAAGGTGGAGGGAGGAGGGTGTCACAGGAAGGCATGCTTGGTCCTGGGTGGAGCTTGGGAAAAGTCCTAGAGACTTGGACAACAGAGCGTGTGTGTGTGTGTGTGTGTGTGTGTAGGGAGTAGGGAAGGGAGGGAGAGGCACCCGGGCTGCCTGCAAAGCGCTGTGAGCTCCGGGGCGCATGTGGGCAGGGGAAGCCATGCAGGGTCTTTGAGCAGGTGCGGACATCAGTGCCGTCCTTCCTTCCCCACTCTGACAGGTCTGGAGGTGACGCCAGGCCCCGGGGCCTACAGCCCAGAGAAGGCGCCCCCCATGCGGCATCAGACACCCCCAGCTTTCACCCTGGGCTGTCGCCTCCACCGGAAGCCGCCGGACACCTCGGCCCCTGCCCCCAACGCCTACACCATGCCCCGTCTGTGGGGCTCGCAGATCTTCATCAAGCCCAGCAGCCCCAGCTACACGGCGGCGGGCCGCACACCCCCTGCCCGCCCCCCGCAGGATCCTGCCGAGCTACCCGGCCCGGGCCAGTACGACAGCCCCGACCCCAACGCCTACCGCCGGCGTCTGCCTGCCTTCACCATGCTGGGGCGGCCCCGGGCCCCGCGGCCACCGGAGGACACGCCCGGCCCCGGCACCCACTGCCCCGAGCAGGTCACGGTGAATAGAGCCAGGGCGCCCGCATACTCCATGGGCATCCGCCACTCGCTCCGGGCCCGCACCATGGCCGCCACCGCGCCCACCACCATGCCCGCCACCACGCCCGCCACCACGCCCGCACGGCCAGCGGGGCTCAGGTTGCCTGGCTGCAGCTGCTAGGCCAGACCCGTTTGGACAAGGTGAACCGGGAGTGGGTGGAGGGGCTGGGAAAGGTGTCTCCCCTCCCCTTTCCTGAGCTGTCCCAGGTCCTTCCAGGACACCCCATCCTTCCAGTCCCTGAGGGCTGTGACCCGTGGCCCGGTGCAGGGTGCAGGGTGAGTCTCCTGCCAGTGCCCCAGTTTCTTCCGGTCATGCCAGACGAAAGGCCAGGCCAGGCAGGAAACACACACCTTCCGGACCTCCCAGCGGCTGGCTGCAGATGAAGCTTCCCATGTCCCAGAACTCCACGTCCAGTCCCACCAGGGCCTGGGTCCCCGTCTCGGCTTGGATTTGTGCCACATTCTGGCCCTTTCTGGTTTCATGGAAACGTGGCCACCGGCTCTGGTCTGGGCCCAAACTCAGGCAGGAGGCAGTTCCAAGGCCCGTGCCTTTCTTCCTCCACCTTCTAAGAGTTGCTTACCCAATAAACCTCTCCAGGGACAGAGAGCTGTCAGCGTCACACGTGCTGGTTCCTGAATGCTGCCCTCCAGAGCCAGACCCATAATCAGCCAGTGCCCAGGGGTCTGAGAGACCAGAAGAGAGACCCAGGGCTAGGTGAGGCCAGAGATGGAGTGGGGAGCCAGGGAGGCTTCCTGGAAGACGGACTATCAAAACTGGGTTTTGAAGGATGTATAGGAGCTTGATGTATTCTAATATCTGATATCTGTTGCTGCTTGCTGTGTTTTGGATGTTAATAAAGACCAACCATGCTTCATAACAACTCAGGATCAGGTGGCATTTACTGAGAGAAACGGTGCTTTGCAGAGACTGGACCCATGTCCTGGAACATGCTGTGAGCCCCCACCGTAGTCCGATGTCAGGATTTGAACCCTGGACCTTGGACTCAGTTCCTGCCATTCTCTCCTAGGGACAGGAAGAAACACATGGGTGGTTCCGTGTGACTGAGCCCTCTGTGTGCCAGGGAGGGAGGGCATCTGGGTCACCCTGCAAACCTCCCATCTAGCAAGACCCTCACCCCGAGTTTGGGGGGGCCTCCCTGAAGGCTGCGGCCTGCGAGGCCTGCAGCGGGCAGAGACGGGGTGGTGGGGCCGCCAAACCCGAACCCCGCTTTACCCACTAGGTCGACGCACGCCAGGACCCCTGCAGCCTGGATCCCCGCCTAAGCCTGGCCACGCGCCCAGACGCAGCGTCCACCCCGCGCGTCACACACACGCAGCGCGCAGGTGCAGCGGCGGCTCCGACCCCGGCCAATGGCGCCCACGATCCGCTCCTCCCGCGGCCGCGCACGGGAGATACGCGCGCCGCCCTCCCTCCTCCCTCCCCCGCCTTCCCGGCCCCGCGCGCGGCGCCGGCCGTGATCTCATCCCCTGATTTATCGATCAGGCTCCGGGCAGCCTCGCCCCTCCCTCCCCACCTGCCAGCGCGTCCCGGCCCCTCCCTTTGTTCCCGGCAATCGGTCCAGCTTGGGGCGGGGCGGGGCGAGGCGGGGGGCTCCGGCCGAGTCGGGCCAGGATGCTGGGTCCCTGGGTGACACTGACACCCCGTTTTCTGGTGCAGAGGACCAGACCCTTGAGGCCAGGGGAGCCGCGGCACGTCTCGGAGACGCCGGAGGTTGGGGACGGAGCGGCCGGCCGGCCTGGGAAGCCGTGCCGGAGCTGGTGCGGGATGGGCTCCCCAGAAACGAGGGAGCGCCCCTGCAGCCCGCTCCCCTGGGTTACAGCCAGAGAAACTGAGGCCGAGACAGGCCTCAGAGCAGGACCCCTCACTCCTGAGTCTGACACTGCGCTGTGCACCTTTGGCCGCGCCCCTTCACCTCCCCAGGCCTCAGTTTCCCCACTAGGAAATAGGGAATGACCCTGAGATATCTTCTGGCTGGAACGATGGAGAGGGAAGGGCTGACCGGAGGGCCTGGGGTGCCCTTTCTCCCTGGCCGCGCCTCCCCAAGCCTCAGTTTCCCCGCAGTCAAGGGGAAAGAAGGGATGTGGTTTGTGAGCCTCTCCAGCTCTGTCCTCCTAGGAACCCGGGCGGCGGGCGGGGTCGGGGGGCGCAGCGGGGAGGGTCGCTGCAGGGGTCCTGGGTTCGAAGCCCCGACTCTCCTCGGCTGCCGGCTCCAGGCCAGCGCCCGGTGTCCTCGGAGCGCCTCAGTTTCCCCGGCCTCGCGGCCAGGCGCCGGGACCAGGAGGGCCGGGGTCCCAGGGGCGCAGCCCCCCGCGGCTGCGCGCTGGGCCGGCGGATGACATCACAGGGCCGGGGGCGGGCGGGGGCGGGCGGAGCGGGCGGGCCTCCTCTGCGTTAGGCGCAGCGCCCGGTCGGGCTCCGTCGGGCGGCCGCGGCCATGACGCAGGGTCCGGGCGGGCGCGCGCCCCCAGCGCCCCCGGCGCCCCCCGAGCCCGAGGCGCCCACCACCTTCTGCGCACTGCTGCCCCGGATGCCGCAGTGGAAGTTCGTGGCCCCGGGCGGCTTCCTGGGCCGAAGCCCGGCGGCGGCGCGGGCGGCCGGGGCGGCCTCGGGGGGCGCGGACCCCCAGCCGGAGCCGGCGGGTCCGGGGGGCGTCCCGGCGCTGGCGGCCGCCGTCCTGGGCGCCTGCGAGCCCCGCTGCGCCGCGCCCTGTCCCCTGCCCGCGCTCAGCCGCTGTCGGGGGGGCGCGGGGGCGCGGGGGCCGCGGGGCGCGCGGGGGGCGGCCGGGCCCGGGGACGACGCCGCGGCCGAGTGGATCCGGAAGGGCAGCTTCATCCACAAGCCCGCGCACGGCTGGCTGCACCCCGACGCCAGGGTCCTGGGGCCCGGGGTCTCCTACGTCGTGCGGGTGAGTCCCCCCTGACCCCGAACCTGTTCGCGGGGGCCGCCCCTCCCCCACGCGGTTCCCCGGGACCCCCCGGTGCCCACTCCCCACGTGTCCTCCCTCCGCGTCGCCGCGGACCCCCATCCCCGGCCTGCGCGAGGCGGCCGCCCCCACCTGGGAGGTGCTGGGGTCCGGTTCCCACGGCGTCACGTGGGGAGGGCGGGGAGGGCGGGGGAGGGGGACGCGCGTGCGCAGCTTGACCGCCCCCGTCGGATTGGCGCGCGGGGCCGGCTGTGGAGGGGGCCTCTCCGGACCACGGGCGGGGGATGGGGAATGGGGGGGAGGGGAGTGGGGGGAGGGGAGTGGGGGGGAGGGGCTGTCGCACGCACAGACCGGGAGGCCCCCGGGGAAGCGGCCTTTCTTTGTTTCTCCGGGGTCCGGTGACACAGAAGCCTTTCCAACTCAGGGGAGGTCGGTCCCCACCCACGACGGTGTCTGGAGAATCATCGGCCGCCGCGGGGAGTGAGGGGGCCGCGCTCACAGCTCCCAAGGGTCGGGAACGTTCGCCTGGGTTGTGTCTTTGCTTTCCTGGATACTGAGTTCAGTAGCGTCCTCCCCTACCCTGAGTTACGGGGGTTCCTCCCCTACCCTGAGTTACGGGGGTCCCTCCCCTACCGTGAGTTACGGGGGGTCCCTCCCCTACCCTGAGTTACGGGGGTCCCTCCCCTACCCTGAGTTACGGGGGGTCCCTCCCCTACCCTGAGTTACGGGGGTCCTTCCCCTACCCTGAGTTATGGGGGTCCTTCCCCTACACGGGGTCCAGGAGGTCCTTCCCCTACCTTGGGTCAAGGTCCTTCCTCCTACAGGAATTGAGAAGGGTCCCCCCAGAATTCGTGTGCCTGCAGGGTCTCACGTCATCTGGAATCGGGGCCATTGCAGAAGTGATCCAGTTAGGAGACCTGGCTGGGTCATGGTGGGTCTCTAAGAAGAAGGAAATTTAGACTGAGGTACACGGAGGGTCAGGCTGTGAGGGACAGAGGCAGAGGTTGGGGCCTCGGGGCCTCACACCTGGGCCCCCCCGAAGCCTGTGGGAACCCCCAGAATCTGGCTGCGGAATCTCACCCCCCGTGGGTGGCCCAGGGGCCTGGGATCAGCAGCCTCAGGTGTCTCCTCCGCCTGCGGTGTAGACCTCCCTGCCTCCCTGGGTCTGTGCCTAGGCCAGGCCTGCATGGGTTTGTTGTCCCCGTGGCGTCTGGCCGCCCCTCACCCTCTCCTGGAAGTTTGTTCTGCAGGGTTAACGCCGACGGCCACCGTGTTCCCGGAGGGCGCGTGGGCTTCCTTTAGACCACGTCCCACGGGGGCTAGTCATGCCTGGCCACTGGCGGTGGGTGTGGGATTTTGAATGTTTGGGATTCAGACACTAGGGTTCTTGGGACTCGGGATGTTGGGGGTGATGGTGCTGCTTTTCATCAGTGCAGGAATTTTTTATTTTATTTTAGAGGCAGATTCTGGCTCTGTCGTCGCCCAGGCTGGAGTGCCATGGCGCTATCCCAGCTCTCCGCAACCTCCGCCTTCCGCAGCCTGGTTCGGGCGATTCTCCTGCCTCAGCCTCCCGAGTTGCTGGGATTACAGGCACTCGCCACTGTGCCTGGCTCATTTTTGTATTTCTGGTAGAGATGGGGTTTAACCATGTTGGCCAGGATGGTCTCAAACTCCTGACGTCAACTGATCCGCCTGCCTCGGCCTCCCAACGTGCTGGGATCACGGCAAGGAGCGCCGTGGGGCTGGAGCTGGTGTGGAGGGAGGAGGGCACTGTCTGTGAGCCCTGCTGAGGAGTGGGGGTGGTTTTGTAGGGCGCAGGGCAGGGTGTGGAGTTTTTAAGGCTCCTTCCAGTGGCCCTGTGGAAGTGATGCTGAGGGAGGAGGAGGAGGCTTCGGGACACGTGGCCCAGGCCACGGGAGTGAGGCCGGGGAGGAGTGCACACTGGGTCTGTGTGGGAAACGGACCCCGAGGAGTTGCCGGCTGGTGGACTAGGCACCCCAACCCCAGGGATTCTGACCGGCCCCAGCCCCTGGCACCGTACCCCGGGAGCCCCTGTCCCTGGCACTGTCACAGCCGGCCCCTCCCGCTCACAGGGAAGCCTGAATCTAGGCAGGAACAGCCAAACCCCATCACCCGGGGACTGCGGCCCGAGGCTCAGCCAGCCTGAGCGGGGCTCCTCCGCACTGGAGGGACCCTGCGCCCTGAGGGAAACTGAGGTACAGAAAGGGAAAGCCGTGTCTGAGGTTACTGAGTGAAGAGGAGGACCAGAACCAGGCGGAGTGTCCTCCCGGCGGGGGCAGAGAGAATGCTCTGGGAGCCCTCGTGACCCCCGTGCCTGTGTGGGGCTCACAGCGGCCCCAGTGTCCACACCCCACCCTTGTCACCCACGCGCCTGTGTGGGCCTCAGCGAGGCCCCAGCATCCACACCCGCCCTCGTCACCCCCATGCCTGTGTGGGGCTCACAGCGGCCCCAGTGTCCACACCCCGCTCCTCAGAGCCACTGCCCTCCAGCCCGGGTGACAGAGCAAGACCCTGCCTCAGAAATGAAAGACATCTGGGTTCTTTTCTCCCATCCAAGTACCAATCAGGCCCAACCCTGCTCAGCTTCCAAGGCCAGAGGACATGGGGCGTTTTCAGGGCAGCTTGACCTCAGCCTCTGCCCGTCTTTCTATGCTGCTGTCCTCAGCAAGCTGGCTTGGTGACCTTCAGGGTCACAGAATGGTGGCCACAGCACGCGACATCCCTGGGACCCGGCCATGTCCACATGAAGCAGAGATCATCCCTTCCATGGCACGTGACGTCCCTGGGACCTGGCCACGTCCACGTCCACGGGGAGCATGGGTCATTCCTTCCTGGGGCTCTTTGTAAGACACTCGTGACATTTTCCCTTTCCCCACTGGCTGGAAATAAAAATCTCTTCCCTC